TAACGACTGTGATAGAAATATGCTGTACTCTATTGCTATCATGATTTCTCTCACATTCTACATTACATGAAAAGTCTAATTCTTATCGCTTTCATCTGGATTTTGTTTTAAACATTTCCAACACTGTAATATACTTAGTTCTATATCGATCGCAAATAAATCTCCTGTATGCTGATACTTTTACAAACCCAGGTAACACTTAACGAGCCTCTAAGGACAATCCATTCCATTCCTGCGCAGGAGTATTCATGTACCATCCGTTGCTATTGTTTTGTCTTTCGTATCGATTTTCATTGCTGTTAAGTAACACATGAATCGTTGCAAATATGTTTAAGGTTAGGGAATAGTTATCTGTGGACCAAACTGTTTTTATTTTTATGGCAGTTTCTTTAATTTCTATAGTAAATAGATGAAGTAACAAAATTTACATGATATCTAATTTTCTTCATTTATTGTCCTGGTTTTAGCGAAGCTGAGTTTGGATTATGATTATATTGACATTTTGGTATTTTCTTGTTGTTTCATTTTATTTACAGAAGTGTTTTGATGTTGTGCATTATATCAGTGTATAGTTATACCGCTAATTGAAATCGCCCGCTCAATAACACACCTTTTACTGAGATTCCACAGTACAGTGATTGTTTCTGTTTTTTCCATTATTGCAGAGTCTATCACTTAATGGACAGTGATAGATGGTTTTTGCGGGAATAATCAAATAACGATGTTAATCAATGATCATAAACGAAAATTCTTAACTGCTAATCAACAGTCTGATAATGTAGATTTTTGCATTGTATGTGTTACGCATGCGCAAAACACATCGCACCAAGAAGCAAAAATGATTTCCCACGTAAATCAGTCGCGGTCGGAGAATATGACAGTCTCAGTCACAAAGTAAAGAATGGTAAAGTGGGCAGAAGAAAGCCTCAGAATTTGGTTTGGGGAAGTTTGCGATTGCAGATGAAAACTTATCGAAAGAGAAAGCAATCAGGACGTTACATATATTCTACTATGGACTACCGACTGACCAAGTTGAACTTGGTCAAAGCTCTATATGCATATGTTTTTACAATACGTGCAGGAGTAAGTCTTTCACGGAAAAAAGGGATATTAATGCCCTTAATTCTCATTTAAATTTAAGTTATCAAACAACATCTGCTTGTCCAGAACAAATTCGGATTGTTTTCGCACTGTGTCATTATATTTTTTTCTCCGCCATCACATTTGTGTGTATATACAAAGAGCTACTTCGTTTTCAAATCTGTCACTTGTTGCTGTCATATCTAAATCTGAGAGAGGTTTCCAGAATAAATCAAAGTGTCAAATTTACAGCTAGAATTGACTGTGATTTTCGTGATATTATGAAAACGTAATTGAAAATGTATAAAACAATTAAAACGGAATAACGTTTTTACAGTGATGTCCTTTTTATTGTTAACTCATCTCAGGATATTACAAATCTTCTATCTCTTCCTAGGTAGGAGGTACTGACCTCTTACAACCTAGAAAATCAGAAGTCCGCGTTCTTAGACCAATGATGAATCTAGAGAATATAAGAATTTAGCTCAAATATATGTAACGATTACGACAGAAGACCTATATTTTCAGAGTGCAAAGCAAAATTGAAAATGTAAATTACTTTGTAGTAGGAGTGAAATATGTATGATTTGAATTTATGATATTCAACGTGAAACCACTAAATGTTCTTTTATTATATTTAAACACCCCCCCCCCCAAAAAAAAAACAAAAAAAAAACAGGAAAAATATGTCCAAACGAAAGTAAAGCGGTGCTCCAAAAAGTTCGGAAAATATCATAGTTCACTTAAGTGCAATGACTGGTCTGATTGGTCGAACTATCAGTAGTATATTGTTACTGGGAATGTCATATCATAACTTTCAAAACTGAAAAATATAGATAAAGAATTGAGGTAAAGGCTTCTTTGATTGGATTTTGAAAAATGAAGAATTTCTAAAACTTCATACCTCATGCTATATTTCTGTATCATATCAATTCGCACCGTTGCTTCATTTTAATTTTCTCCACTGTTCTTGAGATTATTTCCCTTTGTCTTCATGTTCAATTTAACATGATAGTAAGAAATTTGTTAACGAGTAAAATTTTCGATAGTCTGAATTATACTGATGACAATATGAGATCGTTATGGAATGACAGTTAATTTCTGTGTATGATTGCGAGATGAGTAGGATGTTGGTGGTTCTCATTGCCAGAATCGTGTGAAGTGGCTAAATGCAATTTATCTCCCCTTACCCTTCAAAGCGTAGTAATTTTTTAAAATTACTTCAATATGAAATATCAAATTGTGCCATTATAATGAAATTTTGTAAGACATAAAAAGATCATGGTACACTGGATTCCATAACCTGTTTATAGTCGAACCTCGTTATCTGATACTTGTGTAACTCGAAACATTTCGTCGGTAGCTGCCTAAATTTACACGTAACATTGACACACGCTTGAATCGAATACTCTGTTATCTGGAAGTTTTCCCATGGTCCACCGAGATTGAGATAACGGGGTTCAACTGTAATAGTGTTTTCCTCTAAATAACCTGAATGTTTTTTATGTTAAGTTGCAATGCTTTACATCTGACATGCATGATTTATCGAGCTAATATCAATGTGCATACAAGTGCAAATTCCAAATCGTTGTTTACCATCCAGAGACTCCTCGATGAAATATAGTCAATTTCCTCTTGATAAAGATTCTACCACAATATCTCGCAAAGCTATTAGAATTATTTATTTCACACCCATTAGAAAGATTTCTACTTGCGTCTTAGTGTGTTATTGTCAGGCTGTTTATATGGCGGAATCTGTCAGTAAATCGCCGTTTGTTCTCTTGACTCTGAAGCTAGTTCCGGTGTTTATAAGAAGCAAAAGTGTGCGAGCCACATTATCAGTTTGCTCATTCTGGTAAAAGTCATCTGCTTAATTCTCATTACTATCCATGGTAACATATGTTTATTATATGTCTTTTTTTATTATATGACTTTTGCTTCTGAAAAGTTTGAGAAATCTCTATTAACAACTACTATCATTGTCCTTCCCTGAGTGCCAATTTTCGTAGTTAAAAATATGCTTAAGACTGCGTCTTTGTAACTTTTGAAAAATACTGTACTTGAGTGAAAGATATGCCATGCGCCACTCGTTGTGTAAATTATATGCATACTATTTCAATATTAATATAATTTATGTTTTTTGTGAAACAGCCTGCTTATCCACTCCATGTACCTACCATACTTTCTTAAATACATAAAGAAACAATAAACATTCAACACAAATGATTTTATTTTGAATTCAGAGATGTTTTCGAGAAAAAGATATAACGAATATAACACAAAAATATGTAGTATTAAAAAAGAAATCTATAAAATATTAAGATTCGTTTTCTTCATATATACAAGAATATACTGCATCATTTAGAAAAACGGGACGGACAATTGGATTTATGGAATGATACAAAAAGCTGAATTAGATATATAGGTTTCATAAAAAAATGACTGGCTGAACATATAAAATTTCAAAAAGGAAAATTAAGTTAGTTAGTTATTCAAATTATCTATTATTTTAGGGTGTACTTTGTTACGAGATTGAAACATCAAGACAGAGATTCCAGTATTTACAATTTAATTGTTAATACATTGTTGGTCGTTGAATCTACAGCATTAAAAATATAAAATTTGTTTTCTTGATAAAGTTGATATGTAATTTTACCTGAAATGACATACTAAATCAAATATTTCCTGAATACTTATTCTAATACTTTTTTCTTGTACAGAACTGAAGTTGATTTTATTAAATCAAAAACATTATATCATCACTATGTATTTTTGGACAACTTTTCAAGCAAATTAATCCTTTTACCAACTGATCGATTTTAAGGTTTTGTATCATAACTGTTCTGATTCCATATAAATTATTTCATTTTATCGATATGTTTTAGCACGATTATTTCGCAGATCAAGATAATGCAAAATATTTTTTAACCTCATCGACTCCTGGAAAATAATGAAGTGAGCAATTGAAAAAGAATGCTGACCTAACGACACTGAAAATATTGCTTTTGCTCGTTTATCACTTCATTAATATCGTATATATTTAACGTGAACTTAAATAATTCACACACACACACACACACACACACACACACACACACACACACACACACACACACACACACACATATATATATATATATATGCATGTTAAATATCAAAATCTTTATAAATGATGAAATAAACAGTGTATAATTAAGCTTGATGTAGAAATAGCATCTACCATTCTGCATCATATTTTACGTACATGAACTTTGTGTTTCTACATTTCTACACTGAATTGCCATACTTTACTTCGATGTCTTTAACACGTTTATATTGGATAGAATCAGCATTAAAATATATAAAGGATAACTTGAAATGTGTTTTAAGATTAAAAAAACATGAAGAGGTTTAGTCAAACCTGCTGAAAAGTCCACCTTTATTTTAAATGTCACTTGTTTTGGTTCATGGTGTAGTACAGGTCATATTTATTAAACCTCCCTGGAAAGGTCATCCTCCTTAAAACTATCATTGTTATCTGCTCCTGTTAGTGGTCCTTATAGACAAGTTTGACTGTAAATATATTTGAAATGTTTTTTCTCCTATTATATTAACGTTAAAACATGCTACTTAATTCCAAATTGCTTATTCAGTATTTTCCAACTTTTAATTGTATACTAACCATTGCAACTAACATATCATTGCATCAACCTCACCAGTAATGAACTGTGCGTCACGGAATTATCTTATTAACAAAATTGATTTAGAAAAAATAGACAAATAAAATAATAATAATAAAATAAAATAAATAAATAAAAATGATTTAGCAAACAAGAACATTCAAAGCCACCTAAATTTATCACAGACTTCTATGTTACAATGTATAATGCTATAACAATGCTAGGCAACAGTACATGTAAAGTGTTATACACGGAAATATTTCACAGGTACGATGAGTAAAGCTGATCCTGGTCGACAACAGGTGTCTCCACTGTCAAACGAACTTCTGCAGGAGTTTCTGGGCGATGAAGATTCAGTTTTCCACCCATGCCTCCCTTAGCCCCTGGCTTTGGGTGAAGATATGAATCAAGGATAAGGAGTTGCTCCTCAGCTTTCTTTCTTCTCATTAATTCTTCCTCATCTGGTGGCTCCTCCTATTTAATGGGCAAAGGGGGAAAACTCATTTATATAATTTGAATCATATGTTGTCTGAGAACAAACCACAGAAATGAGAACCGCAAAGGTTCTAAGCACAGTGATGTAAATTAAAATTTTCATGTCCGGAGATTCCAAATTCAAATTAAGGTTAGCATATTTCTCATGATTGCAATTAAGAAAATTAAAAATTTAATAATGTTGTAATAAAACAGAAAACTGAGATTTGATGCGGAAAATTGCTACCAGAGAGATTAAAAAGCAATACTATAACTTATCCCAGAGGTATCCTACTCTGTTCAAATTCTCACACATGCATGAGAGTCTCCAGGAAACTCATTACATGTAACAGTGAAAGAGTTACTATTTTCAACCATGAAATATCATCTTTATGCGTTCCGTACCCTAGACATTTCTGCATTAGATACACAGAACCGAAAATCATTGTTTATGTAGTTTCATATTGGGTATAATATCATAATATTAATAATATAATAATTCTGAATAAACAGCAATAACTACAAGTAACATCAATCTACTTACATTTGAATCCCAGCTTTCACCGAACGTCTCCCTAACTAGTCTTAGAATGTTGGGGGCATCGATTTCCGGTGGCCTTTTCCCTACAGCAGGCATATATTCTAAGGGGGAAAACGAAAAAAAAAACGCATAGTTACACAAGCTTATATCCAATGATTCAGGATACATCATATATACGCTATGGAATAATCTATAGTCAAAAGTAAAACTAAATAAATTTTGTTTATTCATATAACGTTTGGGACAGTCATTATGTTCCAGCATTAGGACAAGAGGACTTTTGCAGGGGACAATATCTTATTGGGCGCTATTATTGATTATTGTTAATATCTGCAAAATAAAAGTGTTTTATATTTTTAAGCTTTTGTCGTTTCAAAAAATTATATTGACATGGATGCAGTTTTATAACCCACACTTATTATAAGATAGAATGATCTATGCAGTCAGTCAAAACTAATATCACTACGAACATGCCTCTATGTCTCAATGATAAGAGGAATACATTGCCCTTTAAATGAGCCTATTACATGCATACCATTGCCCAGAATACGAACATGAAAAATATTATCTTACATGCAGTGATTTTCATAAAGAATTCCAATGCGATTGACTTGTATGTCCGAGGTGATAACACTACAACTTAGTACATTCATTTGTTTCTCGCCATATTCAACATGCCATTGAATTAGGTTTTATGTGATGAAAATGTAGACTGTTTGCATGCAATATTTTCCCAGCCATATACACATGAAGCAAACTCATTTTTTATTACGAAAATCCTAATCCATTCCATGCATTCGATTCTTATTTGTACTGTTTTATGAAAGAACTAGTAATTTCATCCAATGGATATCCAGTAGTAACAAATATATATTTATACTTCTTGTGAAGGCGATAACGGTCACTGCATTCCATTGCTTTGTATATTGAAATATTGTATCTAAGTTTATCAAATTGCTGTTACCAAATCCCATGCATTCTGTCCTCACTATAGTGTATGACCTGAACTTATTATAATCTCATTTAAGAAACAAACGTTTTGTAAACACATGCTTAAACACTTCATGTCTTAAACTTAATGTTTATCTTGAAAAATGAAAATGATTCCAAGCAGTTGACACCATCTCCTCCTGTAACGCTTCCATTACCCTTGTCCTACCCCATCCCCCACTTAACACTACCTCCTTCTGTAATTCTTCCTTTACCCCTCACCTACCCCTACCACTGTCCCCACAACCCCATTAACCTGGCCCCCATCTCCACCGACCCTCTAACCCACTGCAATCTCCTAACTCTAATCCATTCGTCTCTTTTTACTATAGTATCAGCAGGTTTCTTTTGAGATCATTTATGTGTGATTTCAGTGGGTATGCTTTACTGGGAGATTGTAATAGTAGAAAATAACAGTGTTTTCCTTTAACTGTCTAACCCTGTCGATACAAAAGCATGTGGTTGCTGTTTTGCCAATAGTATTTGGATTTTCGTATGGATGACATCACATACTTTGCATACAATTCGTCCTTGTTGTAATTTACATTGGGCATGGAAGATTTAACAAAGACCTGATATCAATTTCATGTTCTCCCTTCCCCTTTATTTTCAAGCGTATTTTGCTTTTATCTATCAAATAACCGTCCTGCCATCACATGATTTTCTTTGGTCGATCCGTCATGCAATATTCATGCAAAAGGACTTGTATGTGCTTATTTAAGATAAACTCAAACTTGAATATTAGATATAAGTAAATACATCAGAATTCAAACATACACGTGCATTTATGTATATACAATCGAAGAGAGGTAATGTCTTATTGATTTAACTTTATATAACAATAGAAATATTACATGGTCATGCAAAAATGCGACAGAGTTCCACTGGTGTATTACAAATCGATTGATAACTCGTAACAGAACAGTTATTCCGCTTGTTAGGCGAGTCTGACAAACTCGCAGCGAAAACATTCAAACTGCAGTCATAGTCATGCAAGTTGTCTGTGAAGGTAAATGAAAGTTATTGCACATAAGCTTGACAGAAATCAGCAGATGGTAATTCTAAAATTCAATGAATCATTTCATGCAAATACTTGAAGCCATCCAAAAGAACACCTCAGAATCACCTTGGTTTTCTCGCCCCCACTGCATTCGTTTTGTCTGCATCATATAGACATTGAAATATGATTTTTAAAAAAAGTGAAAGAATGACTGAATAATTCTATCGAATAAAAGTGTGGTGAAGCTTAGCACCCCGATAGATTGAAGATTCAGTATACATTGATTTTACGAAATTTCCACTAAAAATATAGACCAATATCTATAAATCATAATAGTAGTTCCATTTTGCTGTCTGCAAAGCCAGAATTTATTGACATTGCAAGCATATTTGGATCCGCATGGTAATCACCAGTGAAGCAATACACTCATAGCAATGTAGAAAGCGAATGTAAAACAGAAGTGGATAGGTTATATCAGTAGCTGCTAATCCCATTCACTGATTAGAAATGTAATTAATTATCTAACTAGTAATTATTTTATGTTAACATCGCAAGCTGAAAATACCTTTTAACGAGTATCATGCAATTACAAAATACAAAATTACATAATTGATCATGCTACAAAAGCTGAACATTAAATGCAATTTTGTGATCATGACTTCAATCTAAATCATTCCCTTACCAATGACTTTTAAATACACAAATACTTACTCCTCGACGCGTTCTCTTTTTCTGGGGCTTCCTTTGACTTCATCTTAAATGCCATTCCCAGTATGTCTTTTACGGAGTTTCCAAGGACATCCATAATTCCATACGTCTGAGGGGTCTTATTAAGGTCTGCTCGAACCTCTGAAATACTTTGGTTGAGGATGACGGCGAACATGGTCATCAAGGTAAGAATGACGAAAAAGACGTAGGTAAAATAGTACATCTGTGACCAATTCGGTACCGCTCTTATCATGGAATCCAGACTATTCTTTCCTATGAGAGCGTTTGCTAAGCTTCCAAGTGACGTGAAGAGATTTCTGTATTCGTATATGTAAATACCAAACAGAAGATAACCAAACGATACATAGGCAAAGAATACAATGCCGAATACGACACCAAATCCTGCGAGGTCACTGGCAGCGTTTGAAATTACAGCAGCTAATTGTGTCATCCGTTTGTTGTACCCAAGGATGCGTAATATTCGTATGGTTGCAATGAATACTAGTATACCAGTGATGACATTAAATACAATGTCCCAGATAACGACATGCTGGAAGTTTATAAAGGCGGTTGGATCATCGTAGTAGACTTTCAAGGACTGCTTTGAATAAGAATACCTTAATCCCCACATGACAACACCGACAAAGCTGAGCAAGGTGCAGATGGTGTCTATAACGTTCCAAGCATCTTTAAGAAATTGCAAACATCCAGCCTTTCGGAATTTGAGGATCAGTTTAACACACCCGTATATCATCACAATCATGTAGATGAAATAGCAAAGCATTGCATACGTGCCGAGGGCGCCTGTGTGCTGATATGCACGGAAGGAGTAAATGTCACTCCACGTTACAAGTCCACCAAGCTCCGTAAATTCTGCCAGGAATATAACATATGCAAAAAGGTTGGTATTTGCATTATATAAGGTAAACTCAAGGAAAACTGCCCTAGTTTCCCGATTTATCCATTTGTATCTCTGCAACTCATCCAAAATTATTCTTGCTTTGGTAATATCATTTTCAAGTTTTAAGATATAGCCACCTCCACCGTATACGTCAAAATTGCCAGCAATAGCTACACCCCAAATGTTCTCGGAATGCTCGTATCGCCAGGCGTCCTGTGTAAAGAGCTGGTTGCTGGTACATCCAGCGGTTGGCAAGTCCTCTGTCCATCCAACACAGTAATTTCTGTCCTCCTCCGATGTAACTTCGTAGCCTGGGATACAGTCTCTGCCAGGTGTGACTTTATCATATGGACACCCACCTAAACGGAACATACATGCACCATAAATTGATCATCAGATATTTTTCGTTGAAATGAAGAAAAGAAAAAACAAAGACGACAGGAAATCATATTGAATATATTACCTTTACGACTTAAATTTCATAGTTTGTTTTCATTAATTATTACTATTTATTTGTTATTTATACAAAAGTCCATTCTCAGTGACGACTGGTGAAAAATCTACAACTTACAAGTTTAATGGAAAAAGAGCAATTTCTATCGAGACAGAACAGGTGGTTTTTTTTTTCGTTTATTCGCATCTTTTGAAGCCGTATATTTTAGTTCTTAATTATGTTACTTCAATATCCAACTGAAAAGAAGGAACATAGAATTACGTCTAGTGTTATTGTAGAAACATGGCTCTCATCTCTTTTGGTAGACGGGGTCGTATTCTCTCCCTCCACCTCTCATACTTCACCTTACTTAATCGATAGGGAGTTACCTTTTCTTATCTATTTGCTAACATAGTGGTATTGCATCCACTGTAGTATTGGTTACCTCGTTTCATACGGACTTGTCGAAATCTTGGCGGACCTATGCGTGTATTATCCAAGTCCCAGAAGTAGAGTTTATCTCTTTCATCTAACTTGTCACCATTATACTCCGACGTTGGGAAATATCGTGGATAGAACGTTTCATTAATCCACTTGACGAAATCAATTGGATCTTCCACCTGAAGAAAAAAAAATGATGTTTTTAACACACACGTGCATTTCTCATTTAACGAGTTTTATTTTCTTTAGAAATGTTAAGTGACGACAGAACTGATAACAAATCACTTACTAATACTGACCTAGCAGCCATTACAATATTTTGTCAATAGCAAACTTTGTTGATTCCTAGCAGATTTGTAAAATGATTTCGGGTTTTAATTGTGGCTTCACAATATCATTATATCATAGACATAAGCAATCTGGTAGAGGTAGAACCCTTTGAGAAATCTTAAAACTTTAAATGTTTAAACGATCTGAACACAACTGTACGCACAGGACACCATGATTACTAGGAGACCAAATTAAGGGTCGATTACGGCGTATTAGTATATAAATTCTGAAAGTTCTTGTAAAACAGGTGCTCCATGTCTTAATGAAAAGCACTTTATATAAAACAGTTAATTAGATTAGACGTGATATATACATGCATAACAACAAAATGTGTTCTAGTTTTCGTTTCATATCTTAATTTCGTACCAAACATATCGTCAACAAGGGTAGAAACACTAGCAGAAAAGAAAAAAAATCTGCTTCACAAAATATTGGCTTACCTTACTAAAGCCCAAGTGTGACTTAGAAGGAGCAACCAGAGAATCATAAATGTTAGTCTTCAAGTTGTACGATCTCTGGTCACGGTTGACGAAGCTAATACTGTATATGACAAATGCAAAAATACCATAGAGAAGAAGTTCCATGAAAACTTCTCTTGCTTTTAACTCATTCAATCGCTGTATCCTTGTTTTTTCGAGCATTTCAGCGGACGGAGGACTATTGCTTGACAGCACATCCATTCGGAAAGCTTGAAAATAAAAACAAAACAATTTTTTATCGATTGTAAATTTGGAACGATATATAAACTTCACAAAAGGGTTCATGTTCACAATCAGTTTCTTGATAAGAACTATGGAGCTATTTTCCCCATATTCGTATGAAACCGATGATGTTTGGAAATGGGAAAATAAAAAAAAAAAAAAAACAAAAAACAAAAAAACAAAAATTAAGAAAATTAAAAAAAGAAATTAAATAAAATAAAGCATTAAAACTGAATTAACTATGGAGATTGCTTTCTTCCTTGTGTATACCACAACATTTTCACTGCATGAAAATAAGTAAGAAATGGTTTCACAAAACAATTACTGGCTAATGGAAATCTTAACTAAATCAATTTGATTATGAGGTGCTAATAGGTGATATGGCAGCGTTGCCATCTGTAAGATCAAATCGATCTGTTACTCACATAAATATGTTCTGGAAGATCCAGCGTTAAAGGTTTTTGCTGCATCTCTCAGTTTGTCCATTTTAAGTTGTGGTCCTCCTCCATCAACAGGCTTTTTGAAAAGAACTGCGAAGATCACGGCAATCATGATCACCTGATTGAAACAAATTGGATGTAGATTAAACACAATGTCTGTAACTGATATGCGTCAATAAACCTTTATGAACATATAACTATATTCATAGTATCATAAATGAAATTGAAACATAACTTATAAGATATTAATATAGTGTTATTACAATACATTTTTTTTTGTATTCTAGTGTCCATTATTTATGAATGATATTCTTCAAATAAACTGATATTTCATCTGTTTCCCTTTCATTGGCACATTATCAGTTTCGTTGAAACTTACTTTGAAAGGGTCGACGAGAAGCAGGGACTCAACGAAGGAAAATACAAATGTTGTCAACCACTCCTCTGATTTGGTTTTGCCCCATTCCATGCTAAATAGAATTAGGAAGAATGCTGAAGTGACAACAGCCAGGATAACAATTGTTATGGCGATATATCGGGACCAAGCCGGAAGAGGCAAATGATCCACAGAATAAAACTGTGAATCCGAGAAGTGTTCATTCTGGTTGATAATGGTCTTTGTTTGGAATATGTTGCGAACTTCTTTTTCTTTCTTTTCAGACAATTTCTTTGGCTTTGGATAAGTCGGTTTCGCTTTTTTGAAGATGTAAGTAACGAGCAGAATAGGAGGTGTTGTAATTAAGATACCAATGAAAGAAACATAGACAGTAGTGAGCGAAAAGCGAATGAATCCGATTGATACAGAGTCAGGACTGACTTCGTCGCTTTCCGATCGAAAGAACATAGCATTTGAAATCATTGTAAGGAAAAGTAGAGCGAGTATGCATGATAGACGCTGTACTCTCGAGAAGCTACTTTTCTCGGGTCGCATCAACATGGAAAGCCACAAGTGATTTTCTGTTAGATTGAATCGAGCATGTTGGGAAAAGAGCTTGTCGAAGGTAAGAAGGTTATCCCGTCCACAGACTGGAAGGAGACGCTCCACCATTCCATCATCCTGTTCTGCAGCCAGCCATTTGTCGCAAAGGAAGACATACCTAGAAAACACAAAATATGTCATTATCATAATATCACATCTTTGTATAATAACACCACGGAAGGTTGAATACTTTCAAGATGAGTGGATTTAAATTTCACAGAAAACACAAATGGATAAATGAATACTTGTATGCGTCATGTGCCGAATAAGTATTAAACTTGACCAAAACGTATGTGTTCGAAGCTGTTTTAGGAGTTTTGCAATGTTAATAGATTTACAATGCTAAAATAAGAGGACACTACTCAATTAATATCCAATCAATGATATTACACTACAATAATTCAGTTATGTTCGGGAAACTTCACAGTATGAGAAATGTCTAAATCACTTGTCCGGTGAAAAAATATAAATGTAAACACGATGTGACAAAAAGATGTATCTAAATTTCGTTTTAGTATTATAGATTATAACATGCTAACGCTTTCATTTATGCAAGATGGATAAGGTATTGATACGCAACAAGATGCAACTACTCACCTTTGACCAATCTGTGGGTCGTCAACTGTGACCTTATGAAGATACCAGGACTTATTGTCCCCTCGACCTGAGCTGTCATGCCAGATTCGAAGATAAGTAAGATCACCGAGGGGCTCCGGGGTCCCCATGAAAAACTTCCTGACGCTGCTCGTTTCAAAACCCTTGAAATATCATGATTTAAACTCAGTATTAGTTTCCTATTTTTATTGAAACTAAATTCTTACCAGGAAAACTTAGCTTCCCTGTAGATATTCAGTTTTCGATGTAGAATTGAAGGATGATTTTAATGCCAAGATATAATTACCTATAAAACACTTCGTACGAAAACTATGTGTGAAGAGAAGAAACCAAAAAAATGAGAAGCAAAAAGAGTGAATCTCCAGCAGTGTCAAATCGTTTTTTTCCAATGCTTCATTTCATTTTGTTAGAAAATACCTGTTTATCTCCATCACTCAAGATTCGGACACCTGTATCCATCTCCTCTCCGGCCAGGACGAAGTTGACCAATGACTTTGTGCCAGCACCACGCCGTAGGCCAGTGTGAACTGTGATTAGGTAGAAATATCGATCCTCACTGTCACTGTCGCACAGGAAATGAGTCGCCCACTAAAAACATCATAAACATCCACTCAGTGTACATAGCTTACAAGATTTATAACGAATATAACAATGCATTGATGAGAGCAAAATAAATCGGGATTTTTTCCTAAAATGCAAGTTAATGTGAAGCTTTACTGAAAGAATTCTCCGAATCGGTCGCTATTTGATATGAAATTGTTAAACTAATTCTACTCTATCTTAAATATCGACGGTAAAATTATATTTGCAATGTATATGTTCTTCCTTTGCATTACTAATATAAAAAGAGGTGAACATGTCTTAAAATCCTGTCCATTGATGGAAACAAAATACGGAAGAGTTACACACCCTCATGTAGTCCTTCCTGTCTTCTCGATTGGCTAACACGCTTGCGATGACGTACACGACTAGTAAGCCTATGACAGTACCATACACTGATGCATTTGCTGGATCGAATTTAGACCAAACTGTGCTGAAATCGATTGTGTTTGGAGGAACGTAAAACGTCGTGGAAAAGGTATTCCCCGGAGAACTCGGACAATGACAGACGGTCTCATTTAGGGTAGACAGTTGCAAAACCTGTGTAAAAAAGGAGATGTAAGTACTTTTTCTATCTAAATCGTATCTAATAATTAACTTAAAACATGTGTTTGTGTTACGGAGAATTCGATACAAATACAAAAAAATCATTTTATAATTGATTTTATGATTCCAATCTTCAACTGTCTTCAATAAATCAGTAAGTGAAAATATTCCACAGGTTGACAGTCAATCAATGCCAACGAAACAAATTGTATAGAATTTACTTTTGCACGTGGTGATAAAAAACTACAGAGAATAGAAAATGATAAGCATCAATTGAGTAACGAGAACTATGTATACATACTCTACAACCCTGGGAAGTCCATATGTTGTTAGCATTGTCCCAACTGCGACACCCAGTTGTCAAAATAATGAGGCTAAAATTGGCTGTGCCCATTTCAAACGGTGCTTCTGTGGTCGTGGCTGTAGGGGCACTTCGTTTTCTTCGCATTCTGTCCGACTGAGGTGGCGGGATAAAGTCTGTTGAAAAAATAAGACCATATCAGGTGACTATTCTCAGCATTTTATTCTATCATTCATTTTGCGATTACACACTGAAATAGCATACATAGATATGTTATTTCTAATAATTATTAGCATTGTATATTTTCATAAAGTAAGTTTCATCTGTAATGCGAAAGTATGCAAGATATTTTTTGATTTGTGTAGTTGTGTTCATGTTGTCATGAAATGAGGTTTTTCCATCAACAACTTTCTTTTTGGTAATCTATTTGGCCATTGAACCCCTTTCTTTATTTTCACAGTTTTTAAATGACGTATTAAAGCGTAATATATCACGCAATAATCTATGACTAACTTATAATACCTTGCTGTGGTTCCAGGCCCACATACGTTTTTCCCTTCTCGCATATGCTTTGTGGGATGAATACTTTAAAACCATAAATGTCTTCCCAATCTCGCACATTCATGGAGACCTTGTAGTCATACAGGTCTGTTCGTGCAAAGTCGATACAGCGTACATAGACATTATACAAATTGAACGAAGAAACGTCGGCAAAGCTGAAGTCTTTAGGAAGAAAATAGATCAACGCTGCATCGTCACTATATCTTTGTTCATATACGAAATGTAGTAGACCGTCTTCGCTCGTCCTAGGCATATGATTTTTAAATTGGACACCTTCGCCCTTATTTTTTATTTTCAGTGACGTGTTTAATGCCATTGCTGTTCCATTTTCATCTTTTAAAGACACAGTGTATTCCCCTGACGTAACACCCTCAGCATTTTTTCCGTAGAAATGAATAAGTCCATCAAAAGACGATGTCTGCAATATGAAGAAAATAAACAGAGCATATCAAATTCTGTATCTGTCAATCTGTAGATTTGTTACAAATTTCCTATGAATTTGACATAATGGACAATACGTGTAGTACAAAATTTTGTACATCATGGGTCTGTGATGCATAATCATTCATCTATACCAGTAGTTATGCACATATTCTTTATACTTTAGATAATTATCAACCTGATTTACAACAGTTACAATGCAATAACTTGGATATGAAATCAATATATCAAATATTTGCATTAAAAGACCCTCAATTGAGCTATGTTCATTGTTAGATGATCCTCCTCCTTCCACGATACAAATTTAAATAATCTGAATTACATCAACATGAATACAAATAAATAAATAAAACACGTAAAAATGAAATGCAACACAGTATCTTATTCATTAAGATATGCAAATAACATGTATTTTTTACAGATATTTTAACATGACGCGCCAACGCGTCATTGAAAATATCTGTTAAAAAATGCCGTTCACACACCAGTAAACAACAAAAAATTAAAATTATTTCTTATATTTACATTTTTTGGTTTCCTCTTTGAGAATACCGCATTAAAAAATTGGACATTACACGCTTAGGCGAGAATACCCGTCATCTGATGGAATAGCCGAACAGCTGACTCCAATTTGGCGGGAACAATTGTCATACACAAGACGTAAGCAAATATAGTTCCACAATATAGCATCATTTATTTGAATTATTTCCTATCTAAATTTACAACATTTTTCCCCCTTTTATCATTATACTTATATCTATTCAACATATTTAATCTAATAAAGGTTTATTAAATGTTAGAACTTTGAAGAAAAAAAATCACTGCGCATTGACATTAATTGCGTAAGAGTGAAGGCCAATGTTTCATACGCGTAAGGTTTACCGAAATGTAAACGTCAATTTCGTTGGTAGGTCTATATAGAGGATACATACCGGAAATGTAAATATCTAAAAGTCATTGAATTTATAAAACAATAATTAGCAAATTTCTTACTTCTATCTGCACTTCTGAGAAACCGTCTAGACTTGAGTTTCCAAAATCAAGCTCGAAACCGGTCTTGTTCATGGTCGTGGAATTTAACAATGTCTTCAGTCTCGTCTTTTCTGTTGTAATTACACAGTTATCTCGTTCGATCACAGAGGGAGACTCTCCAGGTAGGATCATCGCCGCCAGTAACGCTTGCACTCTAGAAAGGATGTCAAAAAGTTCGGGTACCCCAGTCTCGCCCTGCAAATTAAGTTTCAACTTTATATAGAAGGTAGACATATATGTATTTTTTATATAAACATAAAGAAACATGTTATCTGGATTCCTAGATAGATTTAATAATTCATTTTTTTCAAAGTTTGTTTAAGTTAAAGATGAAATACAATGTCTTTATAAGACAATAAACAAATTTATGACACCGCTCATACTCTTCGGAAACAGGAGCAAACGGATACCCAAACTCATATTATACCCAGACAACAAACAAACACATATGTAGCAATTTAAGCATCAATTTAATCTCACATCACCATAACTTGAGGAGTAAAATCGCAAAGCAATGCAGAAATTATAGTCTCATTCTGACTGGTTATGATTATGAAAGTGATAAACATTAACATATTGAACATAACTCGAAAGAGTTTTCATGTATACACATTATTTTAAAGGCCTCTATTTACCGTGCGGGCCTTTGTACTTGTCTCTTCTTTTGCTGCTGTCCTCTTTTCATATTCCTCTTGTACAAGCCGCTCTCGTTCTGCCTGTTCTTCTTCTGATATGGGATCTGTGCTGATATTGTAATCCCATCTAGATTCCATATCCGCGCGCACAGACTCTAAGGTTATTTCGGCGTTTAGGTCGACCACCATTGACGGTGTTATGCCCTTTGAAGTACTACTTACAATATCTAGAAGACCTACAATCCCATACCAGAAACATTACTTCGAGCGTAATAAAAAATATTGGTACTTTCTACTCATATTTAATTAATCTGTAAGGACGTTTCTATAGCTTTGGTCTTATTTTCAAATACCTTCAATAAATATTGCCCTTTTTATTTTCTGTTAAATTTTGTTTTTCAAGGAGCGGGGATGTCGTTTTCATGTTTTGCCCTTCTTATGTTTTTTATTTTCCATCGACTGTTCGAAAGAGTCATCAGAAACAGCATTGTATAGAAAAAGTATAGATTAAAGTAATTTTTTGAAATTCCCCGAAGACTTCATGAAAAGAGAGCTTTATATATACCCTTGACTATTTTAAGGTAATGAATAAGACATACTTTCACTGACTGCTTGCATACTGGTAACGTCTTCCATTGGGAAAGGCTTTTGACTGATTTTGCTTTCAAGAGATGCTGACAATTTTTGAGCAGTGTTGATAGCTGATCCCTACAACATGAACATCAAAACATAATAGCATGTTTTTACATCGTGTTACGATAACGAATATTTTAAATCAAATGGTTTTGCATAACGTGTACCATCTGATAATATAGCAGGTAATGGCACGATGAATAGTTTCTAACAAAAGAATCAATCAGCTGATATTTTGACAAATAGGATGAACGAAAACATACATTTAAATATATGAAAGATTAATCAATACATGCAGATACAAATCATCATTCTGTAGAAAACTTACTGAAGGGAGGTAATATTTTCGAATATTTGGTATTAGAAAAATGTTAAATTAATTATCGTAACTAATCATTTCGATATTGCCCTACAAACACAGGTCTTTCAAATATTAATGGATTGACCAAAAAGAAATATGCCATGCTAGAGTAACATACCAAAGTATCATCACTGACAATATCAGGGTTTGAAAGCAATGTTTTCACTCCACCTAAGATGTTTCCTGTGTCACTAACACTTAGAACAGTGCCATTTGGTACAGCATCGTTAAGCATATTCATCAATTCGAGATTTTTCTGTAAAGAAATAAAGAGACTGTACAAAAGACACACAACTTAATAACACCTTTCATTAGAAATTTAGAACCAGATACTGCATACCCAAATATAAAAATGAATCGTGCCAGTAAATTTCATTATTTTCCTTTCATAATATGAATATAATAATAATATATAATAATATTAGAAGAACAAGTGCGTGTGGCCATTCTGAAACTTGCAAATGACTTTAAACGTATTGTCAAGAATACAAGTTCTCAAAATTCCAAAAAATTCTATGTCGAAGTATATCACCAATTACACAAAAACCTATAAATAGTTTTAAAAAAATTCTGAAAAATATATTTTCATCGGTGATTTGTCCATTATGTTTCCTGCCGCCTTATATTTTTAGTTTAAAGTTACATGATATGTTACTTAGGATATGGATTAGCTGTGATCAAATGTGTTATTTTTGAAATTTTGATTCCGAACATTTGTAGACGAAATGCACATTTGGGGGTAACACTTTGTTTTTATTTTGATTTGTTATGTTATTCTGTTGATTTGTTTATTTTTGTTTTTGTTTTCTTTTTAATTATTTCCTTTTGAATTTGTCTAGAAGAATAATTCAACACACCTCCGTTAACATATCAGTCACGAGTCCACCTGCAGATGCCTGAAAATGTAGAAAATATTAATATTTTAAAAATATATCTTTTTTTTCAAACCTAATTGTCACAAAATGATTCTGACGTAGATATTTTAAATCTGCTATTGTCGATTACAAATGTGAAAGTATACTCGGAGTAAACATTTTCTCGTATTGACCAATAGGAACAACACACCTCTTGTAAATCATTCGCTGCGTTATTTATCCCCTTCCCATTTTTTCTTATTATTGCTTTCAGACTTTCATCTAGATACTCATACAAAAGCATTGAAAGCAAACATATATATGCTCTTTTACCGAGAATAAATCTTACCATAAGTAAAACACAGATGTTATAATTTTGCTATTAATCTACTATTATGCCACTCTCTATCGCCAAATGGTATACTATGATTTTGATACACATATTTGGCAATAACCGTTTAAATCATACAAATTGTAACCTAAAATAAAATATGATATATGTGTACATATATATATTGCGTTTCTACCCAGCTGAATATAAAAAAATATACGAAAAATTTGAAAAATCAATTATTCATAAAACCATAATAAAGAATCAATAGTTTTTACTGGGAAACTACAATAAAGGTTGTATTTATGTGATACTTACATCTATAGAACTCATGAAAGAACCCATAGCACTGACAGCGCCGACGACTGCTATTTGGTTACCGGCAGCATACAGTTGTTGCTTGGATTGGTTAAAGGTGCCAAAGAGATCGGAAATGATACCGGTATCGTTAGGGCCGCTGGGAACCATCGACTCGTTTCGCAGAACCTTTTCAACAGGTAAAACAGTTTATTTATATCTTAATATATCACAAGATTACTTTCATTACATGAAAAACGTATTTTGTCTTCTTTACCATTTGAGTTTTGGCGAATTTCATACCCTCAACGACACAACGCTTTCCCTAGGCGATCCCATAGACTAAAAACTATCACGAAAACACCAACGTGTCAACATAATGATAATCCAAACTCAAATTCAAGAAAACTAGGAAAGAATATTTACAAAAGAATGACTTACATGGAGATTCCTCCAAAAAGTTCAAGGAGTATAGTACCAGTTGTTGTAAAAGAGAAAACATTTCTGCTTCATCGACCAACTATATAATCTTGGTCAATCCAAGTACATTATTTTCATCAACCTGCATCTTTTGAAACCTTTGTGTTTCCATTCAAATATATACCTTCTTACCGACGATACTTGCCAAAACTGCCTTAAGAGGTGTTCCTCTTTGTCAACATCATTGTCCCAATGACTCTTTAACATAGAGAACAAGCTTACCTTTGCAACCGACGCCATATCCACGGTCTTATCTCCGTAATAGTCCGTGATATGGACAGCGACAGTGACGTTGTAATCAAAATCGGGGCTCCCTACTTGCAAATCCAGTTGACTGGCTGCGGCTGCGTCTAAACAGAACAAAACCAGGTCTAGATGTTAGAATGTGGGAATACTTTTTCCTTTGACTAAAGTGCTTCACTGCCGGGTCATGCAATATATACCTAACAAGTTTTCCAGACTGGATAATGCATTTTAATATTCAAGCTGCGACATGTTAGCAAACTAAGCAAGCCACACTTTACTTTTCCTTGCACAAGACCAAGTCGACTTTTGATCAATACATGACTCATTCAATGACAACTAATCTTATCATAAGAAATGTAGCAAATGTAACTTGTTACTTTCCTACCACATTCATTCATAAGAATGTATTGTTCCAGTCGTCCTAATATGATATATATAAACTTCCCCGTTCCCCAAACACACTATCGGCTATCGACACTGTCAAGATCTGATAAATACCGCTATGTAGTTTCACAACTTCACAGAATGTTTTGTTACAACATTATGATTCTGAGAATGATCCATTTGATCTAATTGAATTTAGACCCTATACGTTTCATGGTCAAGACATTCATACGTGTGATACATAAGTCACCATCAGCTGTAGTTTCAAACATGGTTTGTTACTCGATACATGGGATAATTTAGATTTATATAAAAAAAAAAGTACAAGACATTCTGGTACTTACTTCCCTTTGTGATGGGAATCTGTGATTCCTCGGTTACGCCGTTAACCAAACGTTTATATACAGCAATGTACTCATATGTCAACACCTGTTTTGTATCCTCAATGGGATTTCGCTCATCATTAGCGCCTTCATCCTTCATGTTTAAACACGTGACATCGAACTTATCATTCATGGCATAGCCTTAAAAATGGAAACGTCAGAAATCTATTACAATCCCTTATATTTAATTAGCTCTTTTATAAGAAATAAGGAAGACTAAAAGCGCACTATACTTCTTCAACATAATAACAAAATTATTGTTTCGTATATCTTTAACATAAGGTATTTGATGTACACAGACTTAAGTGCACTATTTGAGTGATGAATAGATGACCTCAAAGTGTATTGTTCACTAGATGAACATCAACTCTAGAGTTAACATTGATAGGTACAGTCATACTCATAACGTAATTTTGGCTTAAATACACAGTGTACAGTTGTTTCATTGTAAAAAAGCCAGAAGTGCCAACATGTGATCATACTCAGCATTCGAACACAAATTCAATAGAATTGGGGACAAATATAACCAAAAGATAACAATACAGCTGTTTCGTCCTTCTAGGACTCGTCAGTGATGCTAAAGGTCTAACTTGTGATGCCTAGGAGGCGACTTTGCAAAAGTGATTGAAAGAAAAGTCAAAATCTAGATGGGTGTAGCAGCCCTATAATTTAATGAAATTAGTAATTTTCATACATCAGATAATCTTAGCACAGCGTTAAATACATGTGTATATTCTGAACATTGCCACTACTCCATTGAATTAAAACATGACATACATATTGTCACGTTTTCAAATGAGAACAAGTTATACAACAAAGAACCAAAAGGCAAACCAATGTGCATCACACACGTCCATCGCCAAAGGAATAGAATATCTATCAAGGAGATAATCATGACGACTGTAAAACTTTCACTTTCCATCAATGTGAATCTCTTGTAACAATGTTTTACGAGTTTGTCCTCGAGCTCACGACTTCTTAAACGAAAGTCGTTATAAAGGGATGCAGGAATATTGCTTTTCAGTAATAGAAAATTCACAATAGGGACATTGAAATCACCTCGCTTATTATTTCACCCTCCGTATATTTCTTTGACGTATTTTTTCACTAAATAAGCTTCAGAACAGTTCATGGTTCGTTTTGTTGTGGTTCTTAGGTAACCTTAATCCAGGACGTCATATGAAGGACGAAAAACTGTATGATACAATGTAATTCATACCGTGGTAATGCTGTGTATAATTCAAAATTTATATTGATAAGTGATAGTCACTTGTGCCTCCTTTGTACAACCCTTTGTGTAATTTTGTATTACCTTCTGACGGACTAATAGAACAACCGTCTCCGTACGGCGGGAGGTTGGCTTTCAACGGCTTGACGGCTTTGCCAACTTTGAGTCTGTTTGGTAAGGACATCGCCACAACTGCTTGATAAGAGGCGCCGGGTTCAAACATATTCGGTTTAATCACCAAAGAGTGATCATTTGTTCCTGTAGGGAAAAAATGATGTCGATGATAATAGTTGTCTAGATATTACAACACTAATGGTAAATTGAAATGCTGTAGATTGTTTTTCAATATGTCTTTGAAAAAATTATTTTGAACAAAAAAACATCACCCTTCGTTATGTACTCAATGAATATTTTAGAATTAAAGTTATTACTAGCGTGGGGCTTCCATACAATTCATAACTGGACTCATATAGTTCAGAGTTATGTCGAAATGCGTTTTAGAAGAGTTGCAGATCAAAACTACGCCGCATATCAATGCTAAAGTATGACGTAATTACTAATTAATGTAATTTAGATTTGATTCAGTTGTATTTAGAGATTACTTCTACATATTCTAATTATGGAAACAAACCCACACCGAGCACTTGACAATCAGTCTTCCTCATTACATATACCAAAATTGTGATTCTATATTGATAATTTACTTCAGAATACGAAACTATGCTTAAATCCATTTGTAATTCACTACCAATGTGACCAACACATCAATTGAAAAGAGAGGTAAACATGCTAAACATTGACCAGATATAATACATGTAATTATGGATGAAACACCTCTTTGCCAAATATAAAGATATCAGCAATGTATCAATTTCTCAAAAATTACACAGCAAAATATATTATTTTCCTTGTATGTCGTTTTCCTATCACCAACATTTACCTGTTTCCGTCATGCTGTTTAAATCTGGGATAGCTATACTGCTGCCGTTTGGAAATACCTCTTCAACGGCCCATGAGCATGAAAGATTTGGTATTTCTTCGGGCGTGCAGTCAGCACATGCACATTTCAAACTTGTTTTCAGTTGTGTTGCTAACTTGACCCGACAATTCAATACACACCTGTGACAGGGACATAGAGTTATGCATGTAAATCTATATTTTGATTTATGATGTCAGATATCACACTATCATTTTTTTTATATTTTTCTTCAAATACATTAGCTATCAGAAGAGAATACAACCGATTTTTTTTCCTGAAACGATTTGCATGTTTTTGTCATTTTCATTTTTTTTTTATTTTTAGAATGTATGAGTAAATTTCAGTTCATTGATAACTTACTTAATGTCAGCCAAAGGAAAATCGCCATCCATTACTTCCATGACCTGGGTGAAGTAGGAAGATTCAGCTTGGTCAAGGTCTACTCGCAGGATAAAGAAATATGCCCTATAATCGTTTGAGCTAGCATCGAGTTCCATCTTTCCGGAGGAAATTTCAACAAATGATTCACAAGCATTTGCGTGGTCAAAAATAGTGCCATTTTTTATTGAAGATTCGTTAGAGAAAGCTGCAATTCCACCGTCGATGTCAAACTGATTCAAAATCCAATCCTTTGTTTCGTTAAACCTTTGAAAAGAGGATATCCTACTATTGTAGTAGTAGTAGTAGTAGTAGTAGTAGTAGTAGTAGTAGTAGTAGTAGTGGTGGTGGTAATAGTAGTGGTAGTCGTTGAAGTAGTGGTAATAGTAGAAGTAGAAGTACTAGAAGCGGAAGTTGTAATACATGTAGTAATAGTACTAACCATATTATGTTTCTAGATAGTTCGTTAAACACGGACGCTTTTGGTAAACGAAATTCAAGAGGTGCCCCCCAATTTACTCATGGAAATAAGATCCTTATGAAGTTATTTGTACTATTATGTATTATTTTCAAATGCTCGTTACTGGTATATTTCTTTCCAAGAGCTACATTCTTAATAAAACAGTCATACCCTTTTACATTCCCAGCAAAATAGTTTTCTCCATCTTGTCGATTTAAGACATTGATGCTTTGTGATTCAATTAAATCTATTTTACGCACAAATTTTGCTTTTGTTACGATCCAATTGTCAGTGTATGTTTTTATTCTTCGATTTTCGAGCCCAGCGTAGACAACGCATACTAACAGCCAAAGTGTCTTCCATATACGGGTCCATTCTATTCATGGCAATAGATCTTTTATGATAGAATATGCCCAGTAACATGTAACGTTAGTTGGTGGGGCATATCAAATGTAGCAGAACGTCATCATGCTACTTCGGCCTTCTATTCGCTTTATTTCATTCCAATTGAGCGTGTTTTGGACAGAGCTAAACCCGCCTGCGACATTGGAAGCATTAAGTCGTTGTTGACAAGCATATGGAGACCATTCCCGTAACAGTTCTGTGTAATTTGCGATTAGCTGACATGCACAGTATTGAACTTGTGAACTTGATTTGTACTCCCTCCCTTCCTTTCTGTGAAATTAATTTTCAATCTTGATCGACCGATTGTCTGATTCACCTATTTAGTTTAGAGACAAGGCAGTATAATGAAAGATTTGATAAGATAATGTTTTGCTTGTCAAATTATATGTTAACTAGTTCAAGTGCACAGTTTCTTTTTTTCAATTCTATACCCTAAAGTCAGGTGAGTGAATTCACTGGAAAAGAGTTCTGAAAGAAACGCACTTCTGATAGTTAAAGATTGTGTTAAAGATTGAACAATTAAATTTTTTACGTTTGTAAACTCTTGTATAAAAATTAAAGGTAAATTCAAAGAGTTGTTAAAGTGCATATATGATACAGCTATTCCGAAACGGTGACGGATCAATGACGGAAATGCTTAGGTACAAGTGAAAGAAAAAAAAAACTTACCCGAAACAGTGGAGGGTGAAAGTAAGAAGCTTCTCAAGATTGAGATAAATATTCTTACCTGAAACAGCTGAGGGTGAAATTCAGGCCATCTCTTTGACCATATCCTCCCTCCTGGTCGTAACTGTCAGTGTAAGCGTCAACTAAATTAGTAGTCTTTTTCGCGGTTCTGGCTGCTCCGCCGATGATGTAAGCGTATGGGGACGGACGTGTTAAACCCAAAAAGGTACATTCGTAGGCATAAGTATCTTCAAGTGTTACATTAAGACATACTTTGTACACTCCTGGTGGTAATCTGCCTCTTTCAAAGCGCAACGAACCCGTTGGTGGCGTTGCCAAAGTATCCAAATAATCAGTCGGAGAAGTAATGTCGTTTTCCCAACTTAACAAGGTCCATATGTAACCCGGATTGAGCCAGTAGCAGACGACCGCCATCCCGTTTGCAAGATCCGTGTCAACGGATGTAAAGGCTTTCATTGGCGTTTCCGGGTCAGCATAATCACGAATAAACATTCCATGGTAGCTAAAACATGGATTTCTAGCTAACACATCAGTTTCATTGTAAAAATTGTCAATGAAATTCGAACAGTTAACTTGAAGGGTATGTTCTCCGAGTGTCAAGTAAGTGATGTTTAGCGAAAGAGGGGACGAACTTGTAATGTTATGTTGAAATAAATGCCAATCATTATCGATGGCATCACCATAGTTGATATTACATAAAACCATTGGTAAATCATCAGTCCCTGTAAGCGAAATATTCATCAACAGTGTTCCAGGTGGTAAAGGTACGGTAAGATTAGAAAACTCCACCGTCACATCTAATGGTCGTTCAGCCAGAAATGGTTTAATCAAGTACGCTATCTCACTTTCACTACCTGAGGTAATTATAGCATAAGGAAGGAAAGATCCCCAGGCGTTGTACTGATGAGTAGCTGTTGCCGTTAAAGCATTTGGCGTTGGATAAGAAGAGTCACCAGCATAGATTGTAATGTCCGCGTTGCTGACTAGTCCTGAAACCGTTAACGTTACTGTTGTGCTGCCAACGAAACCTAGATATACATCAGCGGTAAGAACGCCAATGCCGATCTGTATTGATTGTCCGGTTAGAGAATAAGTTGTCGCAGGATTGGTCGACGTCATATCGACACTTAAGGAATATGTACCTCTTGTGGCATAACTGTGTGTTACTGGAGTCCACGATGTCAGAGATTTTGTCTCAGTAGGCGTTTGGTCCCCAAAGTCCCAGACAAATGTGATACCAATGGGCGGTCTTGAACAGCCTAGTAAAGATATAGAGAATGTCACTACCGTAGGTTCACTTACGGGTTGCAGGAAACCATTAGAGTCAAGAACTGCAGACATGTTCGAACTAACCTTCTCTAAATGAGATATATTGAATTCATTCAGAGTCCATGACTTGACATCAATGGTTGCTGTCCAAGTATCCTTTGAAACAAGATTCCAACAAGTATAGTTTATAGTCTTCACAGCAGCTGATATGAAATTGATCGACCTTTCCAAAGGAGTTCCGAAAGATATTTCTATGCTTTCATTCATGTACTGAACATCGTCGTAGTCAAAATCGCATGTTACATCAGTTGGATTTGGGCCGGATGAGGTCATTGTAAACTCGAAATCCAGCTGTCCATCTGGATACGGTATGACGTCAGTGGTAGGAGAAAGGGTCATTGTTGGTATCGGAACTTGTACGGTAATATTAAAATCACAGATACTGACATAGAAGCTATTCCACGCCGCCATGACAACAAGGAATGTCCCTGGATTGGAGTATGAGTGTGTTAATGAGTCTGCTGAATATGGAAGATACAACACAGATTCTGAATTTTCTAAATCAGGGCTTCCGTCGCCCAATGTTATACTATATAGAAATCCGGAGCTTGGTACATTGCTGAAAGTGAATGTGACTGTTTCACCTGTTTGTGCATTTGTGATGTCACTAGACAGACAGACTGTTACACTGTCCCATACATACACGTAATTCACAAACTCTACAGAATTGAGTTCTGCAAATATTCTGATATTCACTGTATAGTTTCCCTGAACTGCAAAAGCGTGACTGATGGTGTGGCCAGATCCTTGCATGGTCGACAAGAGACTAGAAATGGACGTGTTTGTTGGTGAACTATTATCGTTGTAGTTTACTTCCATTTGAATGTTTCCATATACAGTGGAGGTGATACCCGGGTCTAAGTTAATTGTAAAGACTACGGTTTCTGTCGTTTGTACAGGGCCTTCGTTATTCGTGATTGTGAAGTCGTTGTTGCCTATTCGATACTGAGAAGTCATTAAGACATTGGTGAATGTCCTACTTACAGTGTTAGCAACAACTACTGTTATGTTCTGTACTCCAGTAGTGGAAAAGTTGTGATTTCTTACGGCGGTAGTAATTGTCCCGGTGTACTCTTCTAGGCAAGTGGAGTTTTCATCTAGGAACCATTCTAATTCAATGTTACTACCGGCAGTCAGAGCCCATGTAAAAATGAATGGCACTCCGATTTCTACGACATCGCTAGCAACGGTAACCTGCAAAACATTGAATCAAAGCTGATATTTGATTGTTTGAAATATATCATATGCATAGCATTAGACGTTTAAAGTTATTGTAGAAAATGTAAAGCAACACACGATAGAAAAATATATATGTGCTGTCCAAAATTTGATCATGACTAGATTATCTACAGTGTTCAAGAAACTACAGCTATCTCGAACAATTCATTTTGGCCTGATTTGGATAAGTTCGCTCGCATGTTCAACAGTAACGTTTCAAAGCATATTCGAAAGAATCTCCCTCTCCCCCGTTTTCCCGCAAGGTGATGCTTCTATGGCCTCTGGCCAAAGAAGTCATCGTTATTTCAGACAACAAAATGGCGTTTCAACCATCTCACTCCTAGAGAGGGAGCAATGTTTGATAAGGAAATCATATGGTTGCGCGTCGTTTTATTTCTCAATAATAGATTGCTCAGTTCTGTTTCAGATCTAACAACTAATTTCGTCTTTAGAGACCAATTCTTCGAGGGCCAAAGCAATCTAATTAATAAAGGAGATGGCTGATTTTTTTCCTGTAATATAAAATAATATCAAGGAAATAAAATACTTCTGGATGAGATCATTATGACGACTACAAAATTTGTGGGTTTGTCTGTCGGTTTGCGCGACTTGCATGGAAATCGTGATACATAAACCGACAGACATTTTCAGTCACTTTACAGTGTTTTTCTTACACAGGTTATCACTGTATATCTGTCGTTCACTTGTATCAATGGCAATATATAGACACTGAAACGCCATACTTCAATCCCCTACCCTAGGATACTGAAAAATTAGAACTTGCAGCGCGGAATTCATTTTTGTTGATTTCTTGGGTATGTCTTAAAACTGTTATAATGGCATAAGCAAAGTTTTTTGGCTATATTTCTGCATGAAGTCAAATGTCCACGAAAAAGCTATTTTCATCAAAACCACGAAAATTTACCTCCATTAAAATAAATAATTTTACAGTTCTTGAACCATGATCTTGTTTGTAGAACATATATATTTATAGTGTACTGGATCATGGTTCCTGACGTGTATGATATCTATGAAATCCCGCTGTGTCGAACGTAAATATGTTTTTTTTGCTGATGTCAATCTAGGTTGCATAGAGTTTCACTAGCTCGGGTGAGTTATAACATAGTTTTACTTAGAGATGATTTTAATAAAATAGTGGTAAGTTTGTAATCTGTTTTCCAACACGTATGACTTAACATGTCATTTGTAACAACTGCATCATTTCCTTATACCTTTACTATTTACTCTCTATACTTTTCTATAACGAATAAATGCTAAAATTCCGCATGTGTGTCCCAGAACAATGATTACCGGTCAACATTTCGATATTCACTGCTTACGTCACAGCTCATTCCTATTCGATACTTCCCGGTCTTTGCTCGACAATTTCCGCCATTGAATATAATTGACAGTACACGCTAATACAAATCCCTGTTGTTGTTTCAGAATTAAGATTGGTGAAATGCTGTTGTCATATATCTTATTTATCTATAATGATTCAATTTCTTAGATATCAACAGTAGAAGGTAAAAAAAATGTAGACTGGATTTTCGGTAACATGTTTTATGTTTAACCCTTAAAACCAAACTGTTGCCTTAGGTCTCAAACAACTGTTAAGTCCTCGGGTTCAACATAACATATGTTGACCTCAAACAAAGTCAACAAATGTATGATTTTCCTTTCTCAAAATATCAAACAACTTGGAAGAACATTTAAAATGCTGTAACAATAAGTGTATACGATACCTGAAATCCGGTGATGGCCTGCTCATAGAAGATAACAATTTGCTTGTCTTGAGCAGCACCTGAATCTGGTGACAGCGTGAGTGTAAGGAGGTAGGTTCCGAATGAAGAAGGGACTTTGGTATTGTCGCTGGAGTCAATGACAAGTGATGCTGTTTTTCCTGTTGTGTCTACCGTCCCACCACTAACCACATCGGCGGTGTCATATTGCGCGCCAAGTGTGGGGTTGCTTCCGTCTGTGTACACCAAGCTTATCGTGACTGATGCTCCATCCTGCAAGGAGACGAGATTGGTACCACCGGGCGCAGTCTCAAATCCCGCTATATCTAAAAGATTGTAGAAAAACGCGCACAAGGAAATATTAACAAAATTTTATTTGAAACTCAAATACAATCTACAATGAAACGAGGTCAAATTTCAAACAAAAGAAAGTACGGAACCAATTGAAAACTTTCAAGATGAATAAGACCATATGATCAGGTAGAGTAAGCATTTGTTTGTTTTGCCGATGATACAAGCCATGTAAATATCTGTTAATCTGATATCTAGTGTCACGTACACATGTTCTTTAAGTTCACTAATTAATTACTTAATTTACACGAGTTCTATTTAATTAAAAGCAAGATTTCTTAATCAAACTTGCAGAAATACATTTTTCCAGACAATAACCCATTAAAATTAAAAATTATTTAAATAATAGAATACAACTTCTTCAGAATTCTACACAAATGCGCTATGAAGAAAAGAAATGACGTCATGGTGAGTGACTCATACCATACCGTCGACACATGAGCAGCTAGATGACTCTGAGAGTAAACCCACAGCTAATTACCAATTTATTCAACCGATTTTAATATAGAAGTTTGATTTAGCTAACGACAACTGCGAAATAATTTATGGTAGATTATATATATCATTCTCATTCGCCCAGATGACAACGTGCATTGGTCTTAATGTGGTAGAAAATCTTAATACCCTTAGAAACCCATGGGTTGGTAACCCCATATCTTTTCATGTTCGGGCGTCTTTGTGAACAGCAAATGCTCTACAAATGATTCACGTTGTAACAAATTGAATTCTAACGTTTCGGCAATGTGGGAGTCAGGAAAAACACGATCGCACAAACGGTCTACAATATCATCCGGTATATTGCTGGCGATGCTCTTGTCTTAATGATAACTAACATTACAGTATCACATGGTACCATAACTGGTTTACCGGGAAGTCTTAATTGTGGCCGAGCAGTAGCATCTACCAAAAACAGCAAAGAATTACATGGTTCTATGACAGGTGTAACGATGCAATCTTAGTAAGTACCAATAGTCTGTAGAGCGGTCATCCAGTTGTCTTTGCGATTCAAGACTACAATTAATTATTACTATACAATAACAGAAGAAGTTAATAACATTCGCTTCATGCTCGAAAATGTGGTCGTGCAGCAATCTTAGCTCTACAGCAATAAAACATGGCGATACGAATTCCTACAACAATAGGTTGTATTCTTGAAGTAGCCTGGACTGTACAGAAATAGAATGAGGTGATTTGTCTTAATTCAACAGTCTTAAAGGAATAGAGAAATGTGATACATATTCCTGCATCATATAGTTATAGTCTGTCGGCAGTCTTAACTGTAATAATATATATTTACACAGCAGTTGGATTTTGGACACGCAGTAGTTTTTTGCTATACAAGAAACTGTACAACTTAGCACATATTTATTTATTAGTCAATCAATAGACCTAAATTCACAGGAATCGAGAAATGTCACCCACTAGTCTTAACAGTACAGGAATAGGATAAGATAATACATATTCACACAACAGTGTTAAATGTGGTAACGCAGAAGTCTTATCTGTACATGAATAGGATAAGATAATACATATTCACACAGCCGTGTTAAATGTGGTAACGCAGAAGCCTTATGAATAGGATAAGATAATACATATTCACACAGCCGTGTTAAATGTGGTAACGCAGAAGTCTTATGAATAGGATAAGATAATACATATTCTACATATTCACACAACAGTGTTAAATGTGGTAACGCAGAAGTCTTATGAATAGGATAAGATAATACATATTCACACAACAGTGTTACATGTGGTAACGCAGTAGTCTTATGAATCGGATAAGATAATACATATTCACACAGCAGTGTTACATGTGGTAACGCAGAAGTCTTATCTGTACATGAATAGGATAAGATAATACATATTCACACAGCAGTGTTAAATGTGGTAACGCAGAAGTCTTATGAATAGGATAAGATTATACATATTCACACAACAGTGTTAAATGTGGTAACGCAGTAGTCTTATGAATAGGATAAGATAATACATATTCACACAACAGTGTTAAATGTGGTAACGCAGAAGTCTTATCTGTACATGAATAAGATAAGATTATACATATTCACACAACAGTGTTAAATGTGGTAACGCAGAAGTCTTATCTGTACATGAATAGGATAAGATAATACATATTCACACAACAGTGTTAAATGTGGTAACGCAGAATTCTTATCTGTACATGAATAGGATAAGATAATACATATTCACACAACAGTGTTAAATGTGGTAACGCAGAAGTCTTATGAATAGGATAAGATAATACATATTCACACAACAGTGTTAAATGTGGTAACGCAGAAGTCTTATCTGTATTGAAATAGAATAAGGAAATATATATTCACCCTGCAATTTTAATACATGACCATATCAAAGATTGTACATCCTGAAATTATCACAATGTAATACATGATCCCACAATATGTTAACAGCCATTCATTATTTCATTTCGTAATAGACTAAATGACAGAGCGAAAATAACAGCAAGACAATATTAGCATGTCAACACATAAACATAACCCGAACTCAAATTCAATAACACTGGGGCAATATCTAAACAAGAGAAAAATAAACATAATGGTTTTTATAAAAAGTCAAAGGAGAATAATGCTAGTGGTTCCGGAAAAGGAAGCGTTTTCAGCTTCATCGAAAATGGTCCATTTAAGTAAGTAATGTCAAAATCTCAAATGAGAAAAAGGTCTACAACAACGAAGTCAAACTATAGAGTATTAAACACGCCAAACCTCACACAAAGTGGGAGCCTAATTTGTACAGTGACGTGAATAAGACACCGTCATATTAAAGGTTTAATACTAGAACTGGGCCATCCAATAAAATATACTAAGGAACAAATGTCGCTAAACGACCGCATTATACTCTGAATGATCCATTGATGATAAGCAAATATAATAAAATCGTTTTATAAATTAAAAAAACATTTTAATAAAATGAAACAAACAAAAAATCTTACGTCTATTTCGGTCGATAATAAGTGAAATCATAATATGACCAAAAGATATACTATACGCATTATGCCCGCGGAAAAGTTCATCTATCATAACATTAAAATCTTTATTCAGTCAGCATAAAAAATAGACAGGCGATATTAGACACGAGCGATATTTTTCACCGCTATCAATGGTGTAAGTTCCATATAAAGACAGTTTTTCACAATAGTTTACCTTAAAAAGTAAAAAATAAAAATGTCAATCTACTGTTCGTCTGTTGTCATTGCTTTTGAATTATGATTACGTTGTTACGGTCGGTATTTTCTTGGTAGTCTGATAGAGAGATTAATTTCAATAACCAGATTTATTCACATTTTATTTTCATAAAAACTAAACAAGATATTAAAACACTATTTGGTTTATAAGATACTATAATGACATGCTCATTTCATGAAGAGCACGGTATGGCGTAAAGGTGAAACCATAGTATTAATTACCGGTCGATTGGTTTGGTTTTTGTTTTCGGTTTGCATTTATTTATTTTGTCTCTTTATTATACCTCGACTACAAAGGGAATACATTAGTCGGTAAATACATTAAACTATAAACCAAAATAAATATTTACAATTCAACGAGGGGTGTATTTGATTCCATGTCATCTAGTATTCGGTAACGATTTTATATTCTTTCATTTTGAAACAAGAATCAATATATTTCTATATTCAATATTTTTCTAGATGAAGTCGACACAAGGCACGACAAACTTTCAAATAACTCCCGCCTGAGATCAATCGTTTGTACGTCAATACAATAAACACAGGACATTCCCAAGCTGAAAAACCATTACCGAGTCAACACAAGCAATTATTAGTGTTTTCGATTTCAGGTTAGTATGTCTCTCTAGGTTCGATATTTTTCGTTTATCTACGTCTTTGTCTGTTTTTCTCATCGGTGTTTTCAAATAATTTCTTATTACGTAAACCTGACCCCCAACCCTAACCCATCCGAATCCTCCTCCGATAATTAATGGATAGTATATAAAAAAAAATTAAAAAAAAAAAAAAAATTATAGATACGGAATATATATGCCAAATTATAAATAAATACGTCAAACATTGGACATTGTTTTAGGTACTAGTATTCCGCTTCTAAATCAACGACCATGCTGTTCCGCCAGAGTTCCATATATGCCTCTTCACTACGTAGTCGACACTATACATAGCATCTCAGGATACCATAACTCTTGCCGTGAGACGAACTCGAACCTTAGGCTACCGCTCCCCAAACTGAAACTGCTCAGGCCACGGGGGCTTGATCTTTTCTTGTTGCAGAATACCACCAGAAGACACCAACAGCAATATTCCTAGTGAGGACTTCCCAAGACAACAAACAACGTTTATGTGACGTCATCTATCCTTTTGGAACAGATCAACTCAACGGCATGGAACACTGATTGACACTCCCCACTTCCTTTCTTCACGAGATGCCCTAACCGTTTACTAAGAATCAGTACTCTTGGGCTAATACACCAATTGTTCCTATGAACGCAATGCAGCTACCGTCCGATAAAAAGACGTAGCTGCAGTAAGCTTATAAACGGTTATGTCAAAAACAATTTTTATCTTTATCACCAATAGAAAATATGGATTGCTCTTTAAAACAAATCTCTGATAAGCCACGAAGAGCATATTAAAACCAAATAATATAGGAATGAAAAGACGCTATTGCTTGACCAGGGACAAGATGACATCGACCATTTACAATCACAATCCAGCATCAATGATGCAATCCCTTTTATTTTGGTGTCTTCCCGATTTACTCTTGTTATCGCCTTGAATTCGCAATGACATCTTACTGGCATTTTCACTTCATAAATCGTTAAAACATTGTGCTTTTCTTTCAGGTGATTACTATCAATATTCATATATATATATCGATGCTTCTTTCCGAACTGTAACACTTCAAGTCCTTATAATCCAGGTTCCAATTTTGACTTCAAACGTATTTAACAACAATCCTATTTTACATGC